TCTTCTCAATAAATCACCCTACATGAGGAAAATAAGAAATACATAACTCATATTCAGGAAAACTAGGCAACATGCCTAATTCCAAGGCACAATATATAAAATAAGAAAGTAAATGGAGAAATGACAGAGAATCATAGCAAAAGAGAAAAATACAGAGACAAGTAATTCTACCTACAATTTAGCTAAAAGAGCCTCAGAATGTTTTAGGTACCAGAATGGTGTGCTGGTAGATGTTTAGCCATCAGTTCTCCAAGAAAATTGTGTGTGTGTGTTATGTATATACTAGGGTGACCAGATGTCCCGATTTTGGCGGGACAGTTCCACTTTTCAACAATTTGTCCTGTGTCCTGCAGTGTTTTTAAAAAGTCCCAATTTTTGGAAAGAATGCATGAACAGGCTGGAGAACAAGAAGGGAATATACGGTTTTCGGCCGCCATATGGCTATTTCGCCAGAATATGAGTTTTATATTATTTTTGTTAATTTTATAATGTTAAACTGTAATAAATAATTGCTGAGAAGTGATTATCGAGAACTGCTTATCAAAGTTTGCCTTATTGTCAGGCCCTGCCCTGAGCCGTTCCCTGCCCTCCCCCCCGCCATGTTGTCCCCCCTTACAGATGTTAGAATCTGGTCACCCTAGTATATACACATCCATGTAATGAATTTTTTGTTGTTGTTGAGACAGTCTCACTTTGTTGCCCTCAGTAGAGTACTATGGCATCACAGCTCACAGCAACCTCAAACTCTTGGGCTTAAGCAATTGTCTTGCCTCAGCCTCCCAAGTAGCTGGGACTACAGGCACCCACCACAACATCTGGCTATTTGTTGGTTGTAGTTGTCATTGTTGTTTGGCAGACCCAGGCTGGATTTGAACCCGCCAGCTCTGGTGTACGTGGCTGGCACCCTAGCTGCTAAACTATAGGTATCAAGTCGTATATAAAGGATATATTGTATATAATATTAAAATCATAGTGAAATAAACAATATTCCTTACAGCAAATCGTTGATTTTTGCCAAATTCTTGTATCTGTAGTCAATTACGGTTGCAATTGACAGATCAGTATAGCTCCAGTCTAAACATTGGTATTTTCGTTTACATCAGCAAGTAAGCAAATATGAGACAATGAAGATAACACATCAAAACCTGACTGAGTGGTCAATGGCTTAAGTGACTACTTTGCTATTCGTTGTCAAAGATTAGAAAAATGTCTTCTCATTGTTTATACTATTCACAATGGAAGGACTACTGAAAACACACATTTTTAGTATAATCTGCGTTATTAGCATTTTGTTCATCACTTTCTCAACCTTAATAATCAACAGGACAACAAATCAAGCCCAAATTTGTAGTGTTTGCCCATTCCCATGAGGTGAATACTGCCACCACATCCAAGTTCAGTCTACCACGGTGAGATCACTGGATGCAATGTTGGAAAGAGATGCCAGTTGTACACAATTATAGGGTCTTTCCACGTTCTCACAATTTTGTATGTATTTAACTTATATTCATTTAGATGTTGTATATCTCCCTAAATCCATAAAAGTAGAAACTTTTGTCTTTTTCATCTTTGTTGTATTCTCAATGCTGAGAACTGAGTTTGATATATAGTAGGCCTTCAGTAACTACAATAGAACCTTCATAGCTGACCACCTCCCTACAGGGACCACCTCCTTAAGTTGACCTAATTTGCATAGACTGGACATGCACCCCATGTACGTATCAGTACAGCAGGCCTAGTTCCTTATGTTGACCTCCTCTGTATGTTGACCAATTTGTTATGTCCCTTGGGTGGTCAGCTTACAGAGGTTCTACTGTATTTATTGAATGGAAAATAAAACATTGAACTTACTAGAGGCCAGGCGTGGTCCTAAGCATGTATGTTAAGTCATACATCCTTACCACAACCCTATGAGGTGGCATTATTTTTATCTCCATTATCTGGGTGAAAGCAGAAAGTGACTTACCCAAGGCAGCCAGCATGTAAGTGATGGAGCGAGGATTTAAATTCAAACATTCTGGCTTCAGAGTTGGTATGCTTTGTTCCTCTATATTCTCTTGGTTTATGAGAGCTGCGATGCTGGTGAAGACAAATCCCAGGAAGACAGCCGTATGGGAGACCCATACAGCAACTCTTTCAGCTTATAGCAAGAGATAGAGATAATATATTGGAACTGAGAATTTATCTAACAGGTTTAATTTGATAAAAAAAAATTAAGGCAATTTATAGACCTATGAAATTTGTGAGAAGAGAGAATTTGAAAGAAAACTCTACAAATAATCAAATGAGTCAATTATTAATTCCAGGAAAATAACAAATCAGTTGGGAAAGTAAATATAATAATTACACCCTACTTCTATTTATTCTTTTTCTGAGACAGTCTCACTTTATCACCCTGGGTAGAGTGCCATGGCATCATCATAGCTCATAGTAACTTCAAACTCTTAGGCTCAAGCTATCCTCCTGCCTCAGCCTTTCAAGTAACCACTACAAGTGTCACCATCACACCCAGGAAGTTTTTCTATTTTTAGTAGCGATGGGGTCTCACTCTTGTACAGGCTGGCCTTGAACTCTGGAGCTCAAGCAATCCACCTGCCTCAACCTCCCTGAGTGCTAAGATTATAGGTGTGAGCCACCACACCCAGCCAGTGTACACTCAGCAAAGAACCATGATAATGAAAACAATAAATGCAGATTTCATCAAAATAGTGATGATCAGCATGGGTAGTTCAGTGGTAAAATTTCTCACCTGCCCCAAATAGTGAAGATCAGGCTATGTTGGAAGGGAAAGGAAAAAAAGAACAAAAAATCACTTCTATCACATAGAAAGTCAATAATTTTTTTTAAAAATTATGAATCAGGCAGTAGCCATACACGTATAGTAATAGAAATAAGACAGTAAGTAAAAAGAAATATCTACAATGTTGAAATTACCTCCATTGGGGAGAAGGCTTTATTATTGTTGTTTTGTCAAAACTGCAAGGAAAGGCCAGGTGCTAAGGCTCACATCTGTAATCCTAGCACTCTGAAAGCCTGAGGCAGGAGGATTGTCTGAGGTGAGGAGTTTGAGACCATCCTAACCAATGGCAAGGTGAGACCCTATCTCTACAAAAAATAGAAAACTTAGCCAAGTGTATTGGCACATGCCTGTAGTGCCAGCTACTTGGGAGGCTGAGGTAGGAGGATCGCTGGAGCCCAGAAGGTTGCAGTGAGCTATGCTAATGCCTCTGCACTCTAGCCAGAATAATGGAATGAGACACTGTCTCAAACAAAGAAAAACAAAACAGAACAACCCCCCCACCCCGAAAAAAAGCTGCAAAAGGGCTCAGTCTAGGTCCAGTTGCTCATAGCACAAAGATCCAATTATGGAAACCAGAAGGATTGCCAAGAAAGAAAGATAATTTTTTAATACAAGTGTCTGTGGGGAGAACAAGAAAAGTTGCCTCAAAGCTGTCTCTCTGACTAAAGGAGACCATAGTCTCTCTCTCTCTCTCTTTTTTTTTTTTTTCTTTTTTTGCAGTTTTTGGTCAGGGGTGGGTTTAAACTCACCACCTCTGGTGTATGGGGCTGGCACCCTACTCCTCTGAGCCACAGGTGCCACCCTAGCCCATAGTCTCCTTAAGGAGGGGCAGGTGCTTTGGTGCAGGTAGTGGGGGATGGTGAGTCCTGGTGTCAGGGGGTCTGCTCTGGGGCCTTCAGAATCTCAACTCCTTCATCTTGCAGAAAATCTGTCATTTCTGGGAAACAACTCAAAAGGTCAAGTAGTTAGTTAAGAGAGAGAGTTATAAAAAGCACATGGGGTGATGGAAATGTGTTCGTGGAGCCAGTTTTGACTGTAGTTGTCATGTGTTATTTGACACTACCATTCTTGCTAATTCCTGAGCAGGTATTATCTTGATGAAAATAAAATTGCCTTAAAACAAGAATGAAGAATTTTTTACATAATATTGGCAAAGATTTAAAACGATGTTGACGGAGATATGAAATTGGGCACTCTTATATACTAGCTGATGAAGCTGTCAGTGGCATCTTTTTGGAAGATAGTTGATCTTTTGTTTCAAATACCTTAAGGAATTCTATTTTACTTAGAATTTCTACTTATGGAAATTGATCCTAAGAATAGAACTTTAAGGATATGTACAAAGCCTTCACCTTTTTTTTTTATTATAGCAAAAAAGGGAAAGAAATAATATAAATATCCAATATTAGGGCCCTAGCTTTTTATAATTCATGGTAGCTACATAAAGGAAAACTGTGCAGTTACTAAAAATCGTATGTACTTGTATTAACCTATAAAGATATTTATAAATATTGAGAAAAATTAAAAGCTGGTAGCAAAATAGCAAAATGGTCTCATTTTGTTCCTCTCTCCTAATAGCATATATTTTGAACCAAAAAGTTCTAAAGCATGGACAGCTCAGTAGTTACTTACGGCTGAGTGATGGAATTATTTGTGACTGATGTTTAATTTTGTTCATCTCTATATTGTAATTTTCTATAATGTGTGTGATGGACTTGTGCAATTGTCTAATCTGTTTTAATATTTTAAAATCATACCTCGAACAAAACGTAACTTAAAAATTCAAAGAGATCATTAAAAAAAAAGTGTTATCGATGAGCATAGACACAAAAACTAAACCTCTTTGGTCTAAAACAATGAGTCTGATAAAAAGTAATCTACATTTATAAAATCATCATGTTGATATAGGTATGGAGGCTTGTTCACAAAATCCACAATACTAAAAATAAGGCTTACAAAAGCTTAGAAAAGTCAGAATAATTGTTTTTAATAGTAGGAATTAATCTCAAAGAATTTGAGAAATAGAATATATAAAATGCCATGTCCCATACTTAAAATATTAGATTCTTTAAAGCACTACTTACAGAGATGCATTATGTACATTTTTATGTTCAAGATCATTTCTACATACTTGGAATAGCCAATTCTTGTATTTGGGGGATTTGTCTCAATTCGTGGTATTGTTTGCTTTGCTTCTTAGGTACCAGCAAAGACCACACGTCTTACTCAACAACTTCTCTGCCGCCGCCTCCATCATCCCATCCGGTCAGCCAGCCACCCTTGCCAGCATCTCACCCAACACAACCACCGGCCCCAAGCCTACCGCCCAGAAACATTAAACCTCCACTTGACCTAAAGTAAGCAAAAGATTATCTTGCCATTTCCTTGCCAATCTCTTGCTGTAGACTTTTCACCTATGTTTGGCTAAGTACTAAGAGACTCATAAAAGGGGGCAGCTGGCAAGGAGAAGGCCTGGTGCTAAGCTGGTAGTTCTCATATCTTTGGAATCCCTGTAAGTCTCAGAAATTCTTGTTAATCTATTTTCTATTGGGTTTCCCCTTAGAAGTTCATGGGAAGAAAACTTCCACTGTCTTTTTAAAAGTTGCAAAGCTTTCTTGAGATCAGCTCACCACAGCCATCTCCTGTACCATCAGCACCACCCACACCATGGTAATTGTCACCATCACCATCACCACCATCACCACCACCACCACTATCACCACATTTTACTAACTGCCTACGATGTGCTGGGCATTTTTAATATATAATCTCTACAACCTTATCAAGTGGATAGTATCGTCATTCCACAGATGAGGAAATGGAAATCTGCCTCAGTAAAGAGGCCAAGAAACTCCACTAAGATCACACAGTAATGTAGAATAGCAATTTGAAAGTGTGTCAGCCTGAATCCAAAGTAAACATTTGCTTTAAACTACTATGCTAGGGTGGTGCCTCTGGCTCAGCGAGTAGGGTGCTGGCCCCATATACCGAAGGTGGCAGGTTCAAACCTGGCCCTGGACAAACTGCAACAAAAAAATAGCTAGGTTGTGGTAGGCACTGGTAGTCCCAGCTACTTGGAAGACTGAGGCAAGAGAATCACCTAAGCCCAAGAGCTGGAAGTTGCTGTGAGCTACCACGCCACAGCACTCTACTTAGGGAGATAAAGTGAGACTCTTCCTCTAAAGAAAAAAAAAATACTATGCTAAATAGCCTCAATGCTCTTATCCTTCAGAATTTTTGGTTCAGTGTTAAAGGCCTTGGACACTTTCATTGAAGCCTACTGTTGTTAAATTTTCTTAGATAGCATGTTTTGGAAATGTCAGGACTGTATGTGGTGCTATGCACAGGCTCCTTGAGGAAAAACCAAGTGGAAGATTGGAATAGAATGAAATGTCGTTTTAAAAAGAAATATTCAGACAATGGCCAGCGTAGATCTTTATGGCAAGGCAAACTAAATCTTCCCTTTATTTATCTAGAAAATGTCTTTATCCCCAAAGGAGTGTATCCAATTTATTCAGTACAATTTTGTTTTTCTTCACCTCAGTTTTCCTACCAGATTGATGTCCTCCACAATAAAAGTACTTAATATCCATAATTGATATAACAGAAACTATTAATAAAATTATTATGTGTTTCCCTTATGGGCTTCATGATTATAATTTAGAGCAGGGATTTAAACCACATTTATCATGAGTAGCCACCACTGCTTTTCACCTTATTATCCTCTCTTGGGAGTTTAAAGATGGGAATTAAAAGATGTTCGAGTAACTTAGCGGCTACCTTCTTAACTATGGCCTGCTTCCTACGTTTATATTAACCACACAGCCTTCCTGGCATTTACAGTTATGAATGCCAAATTAAAGATTTTAATGCCCCATAATATATGCTACCTTTTTTTTTTCAAAAGGGAAAATGTAGTGTATAGTAAAAGACTTTGAAGCTCCCATCAGAGATCGCAAGTAAATTCCAGAATGAAGAAATATCTAGGTTAGAAAATTTCCCCCAAGCAGAGTAGAAATGCATAGAGGAAATGAAACCAAATTGGGTCTTGATATTCAGGTTCAAAAGCTTATATTTCACATGAAAGAGAGTATAAGGCATAGTCTTTAAGTAGAATTATGAAAGATATAGGAGTTTCTGTGCTTTTTATCACACCACCACTCCTCAAAAGGTACATGGGAGTGGTGTTCCCTAAGCGCTACTCCCTCTGCCGACCTACAGATACAGGCAGGTGGCTCTAACCAAGAAGGTAGCCATGGAGGCAAGAAGTGTCCATATTCTGGGTAGATTTTCAAGGAAGAGACAACAGAATTTGGATTTAAGATATGAAAGAAAATGAAGATCAACAATAAATGCCTTCAAAGTTCTGGGCCTAAACAGCTGTAAGGATGAAGCTTCCTTCCATCAATGAAGGAGCATCACAGGGAGGCCGAGGGTGTCAAGAGACAAAATGGCAACAAATTTAGTTTAACGACTGTCATTGGCTTTATCTGTGATTCTGGAATAGGGAGCCCTTCGTTCCATTAGATAGAACATTGAATAGAGCAGAGGAGTTTGGTTTTAAAAACAGAAAAAGAACAACTGTAAAAAAGCAGAAACAAGGAACAAAAACCAAATGGGTTATTTCAAAGTCACGTTTCTGTCAGACAGGGAGGTGGAAACAGAAGAATAGAAAGATAATTGTTTGGTCAACCTCAGGTTACTTCAGGTCACTTTTTGTTGTGAAGATTAAAATAGAGGGAACTTCGTTATCATGATCAAAGATTGAAACTGGCCTGTTTGGTAAATTAAGCTCTCTCTTGGATTTCTCCCAAGGTCAGATAACAACTCAGTTTCATTTGGTGAACAAGAGAAACTTCATTTTGATTTTTAGTCTGATCTGGAGGTCCCAATGCAGAAGTTTTGTCTAAAACCTCCTAGATTTTGAGCAAGTATTGGAGGTGGGGAGGATCAGAAGACTATACTAAGTTTGAGATGTTATTACAGCATCCAAGTGGAAATGTTGAAGCAATTGGAGACAAGTGAAGAGTCTAGGAGAGAGTTCTGGATTAAAAATGTAACCTTTGAGAGATATAGGAACATAGTCTATGCTTAATGTCATGAGACTGATTGAGATGATCAAGAGTAGATAGAGAACCAAACCTGGGGGGAATTGTAGCTCTCTGAGGCCTGGGAGGAGAAGAAGGGACAAAGGCTAATAAAAGGAACAGCCGATAAGGAAGTGTCCTGGAAGCCCAGTCAGAGGAAGCAGTGAGCAACTTTGTCAATGCAAGTGAATGTCCAAAAAATGGGGACCGCAGTGGCAGTGTGGATGAAATACCAAGGGTTGTAGGGGTGCAAGCCTGGAAAATAGCTTTAATGCAGGGAGAGGAGCTGGAAAGAGCAAGTGTAAATAACTCCTTCAAGGAGAAAAGGAAAGCCAAGGAATGGGGCAGGACCCGGTGGAAGAAATGGAATCAAGAGAATTTTTTAAAGATGGAAATAACAGCATATGTTTATGATGTTGGGAAAGACACAGTAAAGAGGAAAGAATGTTAAGGGCGGAGAGAGGGGAGAATTCCAGGAACCAAGAACTAGGGTGACTAAGAACTAGTGCTCCTGCCAGGCGTTGGCTTCCAAAGTAACTGAAGTAAAGACTGATAAGGGGCCAGGCACAGTGGCTCACGCCTGTAATCCTAACATTCGGGGAGGCCAAGGCGGGTGGATTGCTTGAGCACAGGAGTTTGAGACCAGCTTGAACACGAGCCAGACCCCTGTCTCTAAAGTAACTGGGCATTGTGGTGGGCATCTGTAGTCTCAGCTACTTGGGAGGCTGTGGCAAGAGGATCACTTGAGCCCAAGAGTTTGAAGTTGCTGTGAGCTATGACCCCAGGGCACTCTACCCAGGGCAACTGAATGAGACTCTGTTTCAAAAAAAAAGGCTCGGTGCCTGTAGCACAGTG